TGTATAAGCGTACAATTTATTACTTGCCGTTCCTTCTTCTACTCTCCTTTTATTTTTTTTCTTCTTCTTCTTTTCCTCGTGTGCCTCACCGTGCCTTCTGCTTTGTGAAGTTTTGAACATGTAATTTGTGTTTTTAGTTTGTTTTCTGCTTTCCCTGTGATCTTTCTTCTGTTCAACGACTTAGTTTTCCTTCTTGCTCGGGAACCGGGAGCGGAGTTTATTGATGAGTTATTTTGCACACACCCCCCTCCCCCAAAAAAAAAAAAAAAAAAAAAAAAAAAAAAAAAAAAAAATCCCCTTTTTTAATCACAAGACACACCCAGTGTTGAACAGCAAAAAAATCTGGGGATTAGCTTCCGTCGACTTGTTTCAGATTCGAGCAAAAAAAATCGATTAAAATAGAAACAATAGAGCAAATATTTAAGTTCGAGTATCTATGAAACATAAATCGTAGCTTCTTTTCATACATTGTTATTTTTGTGACATCTAAAGGTCGGCTAGCACTTGTTGTTTTACAAGACAAAGAGCAATTGAAATATGCATCAAAATATTTTTGCCGAAACCGGTAATTTTCTAACAAATGCAAATACGTGTACTCGAGTAGCTGCTGAAAGGAATGCCCAAGTATTTGAAAATTATCCTCGATATTCGAGAGAGGACACAGGACAGGAAGTCTTCTTGGCCTAGTTTACAACTTCACTTCCAACTTGCAGTTCAACTTGGGCGTAGTGTTAGTCATCAACGGCAACGGTTGATCAATTTTCTCAACTGTCAATTTAAAACGGTAAGTTTTATACTTGTCCACATCAAGGCCAGTACTGTGTCACTTTCCTTTGTGTACTTTTGAAGTTCAGTTGCCCCGTACAATTAATATATTTGGAGTTCTAAAAGAAACTTTACTGACTGGATTTTATTCGTTTTCACAGGGCTTCCGGGTGAGCCACATATTTGTCGCCAGCCCAACCCAAACTGCCTCTCCTTTTTTGTACATTCTTTTTTCTAAGTGTTGATTCTACTGTCACTGCAATGGAATGATTGTGTTTTAACACTCTAGATTCTTTTTGTTGCACATCGATAATATTTATTGATTCAGTGGACAGTGGTATACTGTGTTAAAAGTTTTATAAAGTTGCACACATCACAAGTTGTCAAGCAAGATCCAAAAGATAAAAGCAGTAGAACCTTTAATCTGGACTCTTTCTGACTTCCAAGTTTGTAATGTATAATTTAATATAGATCTAGATCAATCTATATCATTAATTCTACCATCAAATGTATGTAGATCTATATCAGGGGTAAAGCACTTGTTCAAAATTTTCTTGTTTTCAGTAGGCCCCCTACGTATTTTCTTTGGTCTGAATCTCTATGTATACCATGTAAGCTAACCAACTCTATAGAAAGATTAGAAATCGTCAAATATCAAAATATCTGGACTAATTTTTATGATCATGATGATGAGGTTGTTTAGGTGTTTTTTTTACTATTAATATTATAGTATTTATTATAAACTTAGTACGAGGCACCGGCAGTCAGTAAGATGATGTTGAGTGTTGCACTTCATTCAGTAAAGGCAAAGGTTTTGATCCCAACGATGACTTATGATGGGTTCTGGCTCCACATATTACTTTCGTTTTGAAAGGATTACTTTTTGCTGCAATACTTAATAATACTATGTTTGACATGCGGCGAGCAAGAGAAAATGATATCAAAGCTAATTGCAAAAATCAAATTATGGTTTAAATACAAGGGAGCCTGCCCCCCCCCCCCTTTCCCATATTTTTATAAGGTCAAGGGGTCATGCCAACCTAAAACACCCCCCCCCCCCCCGGTTAGGAACACTTGAAATATTTACTGCTAATTTTGTACTGAAAAATAGCAGCGCGTCTCTCGCTCTCTTTCAGATAAAACAGGATACATATAATGTACCAAGTAGTAAGTATCAATATTATATTCCAGTACTCTTGGGGCCACGGCCAAAGAATTCCTCATTAGTATTAGCCTTCATTATATTGCATACTTCATGTCATATATATTTTATTATCATTTTTAGAACTATAAGAGCATGAGACCATGAACAGTTTTCCTGCTTTATTCCTTGTTGTACAGGTGAGGATCTGAACAGACCTTCAAGATGTCGAGCAGAAAAACAAAGAAGACGACCACGAAGAAGCGTGCGCAGCGTGCGACTTCCAATGTGTTTGCCATGTTTGATCAAGCGCAGATTCAAGAATTCAAAGAAGCCTTCAATATGATTGACCAGAACAGAGATGGTTTCATCGACAAGGAGGATTTGCATGATATGCTGGCCTCTCTAGGTTTGTATGAAATTCATGCATCTTTGATTGATTGTTATGTTTTTTCTTCAAGTGGGTGAAATTAACTCTGTTTAAATACGTGTACACATGGTTGTAAACTTTCTTCAAGTAGAAATCTGTGATTACTGTGCTGCCTGTCATACTTGATTACGTACACCTCAGACAGCAACATCTTTCCTAGTCTTTACTGTCGTCATTTTCCCCTTACTTCTTTTGTATGTTTGCCACACTCTTGCCATCCACCCACACAGCATCTTGTTCGGTAAACTGACAAAACCGATTAATCAGTAATGTTGGCCTTAGTTATTGTGTGTTGAAAACTGTTAAAAAATCTATTCCATGAAAAATGAGCAGCAATTTAAAACTGTGGGTGGTTGGCAGGTGCTCTGATGTGGTTTGCTCCTTCTTTCCTTTTCTATCAAACATCTATCGTCCTGATCTCTCCTCCTTCTTTTTTATGTTTGTCACTCTCTTGTAACATCTCTAATCTTCGGCACTTATATGATGACCTTATTGTATCGCTGCAAGTGCTGTAAAATTTTTACTAAAGCTAAAAATTAAAAAAAACGATCTTCCACCTCCAGGAAAGGACCCTGCTGACTCTTACTTGGACGAGATGATGGTCGCGGCTCCCGGACCCATCAACTTCACCATGTTCCTCACGATGTTTGGCGACAAACTCAACGGCACCGATCCAGAGGACGTCATCAAGAACGCCTTCGCTTGTTTTGATGAGGACGGCTCAGGTACTGGTCACTTTCTCTTTCATTTTCAATAAACATCAGTTTTTTTAATTGTAGCAATTGGTATGTTACATATGTGTCGCAATGCAGTGGAATTAGGCACTTGTCAAATTTTGTGCATAAATGGAGTTACGGGTATCATCTGAAAGCTGATTTATTTGCCTTGCTTTCAATGAAATAAATATAAATCTATCTTGAATAGTATTTACGATTGAAGGAAGTGAGCTTGTCTGGTTTCAGAGGTGAAATTAGGGAGAAAATGGCTGCCAAAGTTTGGTAACTCTAATAGCTAAAGAGTCTTTGAGAACAGAAAAATGACATATTTTTTTCCTTTAATCAATGTGTTACAGCAAAATTCACATGGAAATGTGTTTTTACATGGACATAAAAGAGGTTGAGCCCAAAAATAAAAATTCGATAAAAATGTCCAAACTTTCGGAAGAAAATGCGTTTCTCAGATTTCTGTGTTTTGACGAGCGCCTGATTTCACCTCGCTGCCTCACATAGTAATTAACAGCTGATGTAGTTTTTAGGAACTCATTTTCCTTTGGGAGTGATCAACACTTTAGAATGTGCAGAGTAAGAACTTGCTATATCTAAGAGATCGGTTTTATGGTTTAATAGAAATTTTATCTCCAGTTTGGGCGGAAATCGTTAAAAATATAAATCCACCTGAGATACTGGTTTGAGCTAAGGACAATTAATTTTTCTGCTTGTCCTGCTTGACCACGTGTTGGGCGTGCGAAGAGGCCCTGTGTCAAGGCAGAAGCTGTACGGTGACTACAATTATGCAAATGATAATAAAACTCAGTCAAGAGTAGACAGTGAAAAAGTGACGATACTCTCTTCATTATATACTCACTTACTCACACTCTTCGCTTGGTGCCAACGGCAAGACAGACTTTCCGGAGCGATAGTGGAAGAATCCTAGGAGGAGACCATAGAATTACACATTACATATGTCTCAGTCTAAGATACAAATTTTGAGATTTAATGCTTTAATTCACAGCATTCTACAACAGTTTTCCTAGCTTTCTTTATGTTTTGAAGATTTTTTGTTGTTTGTCTTTGATCTAAAAATGCACAAAGAATGCTGTAGTCATATTCACAGAGCAATTAAAAGCCCTTTCAAAGACTCTTTAATCTGATTTGAGGATTTTTGCTTTGTTTTCAGGTGTGATTCCCGAGGAGCGTCTGAGAGAGTTGCTTACAACAATGGGGGACAGATTCACCGAGGATGAGGTAAGCTCTGCTCAGTTTTGTAAGCTGAATATACAGAAGTTTAAGCCCAGCTATTCCGAACACGCTCTGTGGGTGGTTGGCGGGTGCTCTGGTGTGGTTTGCTTCTTCTTTCCTATCAAACATCTATTGTCTTTATCTTTTCTCCTTCTTTTTTTTGTGTTTGTTACTCTCTTGTA